ACACACACACACACATTCACTGTCTGTACTGATAATGAGCTTTGGTGGTGTACTGGTGCGTGTGTGCTGTTGGCACTGCTCTGATAGCACGTCAAGTACAAGTTAATGAGAGAGTTGTGTTAAACCACTTTTCCAGTGTGTATGTCTGTGTGTACAGTTCCTCAGTATATTGGAGTGTGTTTGCATGCATCTATGTGTGTATGAGTTCTTGTGTGTGTATGTAGGCATCAAGGCAGGCTATGGTGTTGTAATGACACACTCGGGGGACAGGCTTGTGAGAAGATTCACTCCACTGTCCTCATTGATCTCTTTCTCTTTCTCACAAACACGCACATGCAGAATAATAACCATTAACCAGTGACTCAGAACCTCTCCACTTCCAGCAAATGACAGCCCAACAACACTTAAAGCATTGCGTTTACCTCAGCTTGAAAGAAAAGAATCAAAGAGTGGAGAAAAAAAAAGTGGAAGGTGTAACCAGCTGAAAGCTCCTCAGCTTGAACTGAGACTTTGTGCCGCTTCCACCTTCTCTTTTGTCAAAGTTCTCAAATCGAGTTTGACTCCTTTGCGAAATGTTCAGAGAACACAAGGAAAGTGCTTTTGACCATTAGCTTCAAACCAAATTAGAGGAGATCCAGTTTTCTTTTTTTTGTCTTCCATTCCTGTACTAAAGACAGTTGTTCTTACTCTTCAGTCGTGCTAGCACCATAGCTGTAGGGTTGGCACTGTCGGTCATTTATGTCTATCTTTCTTGGTGTGGACAGCCCTTTGGTCTTGTTTATTTTTTCTCTGCATTGCCTTTATGTGATGTGAACATATAGCGAGTGAGAAGGGGCTTTTTTCTTCTTCCTTTTGGGCTTTTAGAGGAAATTAAAACCCTAGAAGAACTGTTTTTCCCTTTTTATCACACTACAGAGCTAGCTGGGCCCACAGCAAACCCGCCACAGATAAAACAACATATACACACAAATGCAAGAACAGAGAGGCATACACACACACACACACACACACACCCAGACACACAGTTTGCCAGCCCTGGGGCTCCATCAGTCTGTTCTTATGAATATAGTTGACTCCAAAGCAGGCAGGAAGTGCCCTGGACAAATATGGAAATCTACCACATGCTAATGTGACTTTTCAGAACAGGCAGGTATTAGGCAAATCCAAAACACATGGACACAAGGCAGGAATATATATTCGAATTTGTTGACATCCAATTTTTTTTTTTGAATTGGTAATAAGTATTGGGTTTTTTAATATTACAGAATACTTCCAAGGTATGCAAAGGTTTATCTGTTTTTCATATGCATTAAAAGCAAAGTTATTACGGTATGTGTGATCTAATTTAAAGGGTCAGTTCAACAAAATTACCGAAAAAAAGCAGTGTTATCTACCCATGCAGATAGTTTTTGCATTTTTTTTTTGCATGGCTAGCTAGACAGGCAAGTGAGAAAACATTAAATTGTATAAATGTATTTTGAATCAGAATGGATACAAACAAACCTTTTATAGCATCAGAATAAACCAATGATAATTTGTAATAGGTTCTCTCGTGGTGTTGCTGTCTTTGTGTTCAATTGTATTATTGTAAGTGAAAGACAAGTCTAATCTCGTGTTTTGAGTGCTGGTAATTTTGGGAGTTGCGTGGCCCTTTTGGATCATAGATTGTGCTATAGATGATTTTATTTTCTCTTATTTCAGCATGACACAACTACTAAAAATCATCTTCCAGACTGCTGAATTTGTTAGTTTTGAGTCATAGTGGAGACATTATGACATTATAAATGTGCAGTGGCAGATGGAGCCCTACTTCTAAATGGAATTTACATTTCGAAATTCACATTCATATAATTTAAATTTCCCAATGTTTTGTTGTGAAACACTTAAAGTGCCCTCAGGATTTCAGACTTAAGCACCAAGCAGTGAAGGTTTATTATCATTATTATCTGTTCGTGTTTGTGTCTGAGATGTGAAAAAGTTTAAATTTTGAATGCATCAAAAGAATGACAGGAAACACAGATGGGACCTCATCATGAAACACAAACTTGTGTTTAGTCATTGTGTTCCTTACAGTGACTATATACAAGCACTTATATTTTCTGATAACACGCTTGGAATTCTTGGCTTGTTCTTTTGTTTGGGTCTTTATGCAGAGGCCTGCAAATACACCATGATTTATAGCCATCATTCCACCCGAGCTTTGGCTTTTTTTTTTCATTTAGTGCTGAAGCAAAGGTGTAATAACAGAATACAGTTTCTCACATTCTGTATTACCATGCACGCTACATCCTGTACATCCCTATTTTTGGTCTGAATTCATGATACTGTATACTGGAGTCATTTATTATTCTGTCACACCTACAGCCTGAGCACACACACATACACACATAAATACCCAGAAGCCACAACTGGAGTTACATTCACTTACAGCATCCATCCTGAATACAGAAATGCAGTATGCAGGTCATTAGAAGCAAAGGAGAAATTCTTCTCTTAAGCCGCAAACTGCTGCAGAAAGTATAAAACTCAAAATCAGTTGCCTAATTTACCATGTGCAGAACAAAAATATGAGATGTGTCGATGCTGATTACAAGGCCTGTGCCGCAAATCAACTCATCGTGGGCTTGCAATCAACAAGTAATCAGTGATATGTTGATATATGAAGAGTAAAGACAGATTAGATGATGAAGATTACCATTATCAGCACTGAACAAATGTCATGTTTATTTTGGCATTCTTTTTTTTCTGTTTATGCCTAGATTGTATTCATTTTTCCATATACAATCATTTTTAACAAGGTTATGGTTAGTTAGTTGAAAGGGTGCATAAAGCATGTCTTCCTTGGAGTGAACTCTGAGGTTGACGTGCTTTATGTTGAAACGTTTGTTGCTGCACCTTACTAACAAGCTATTAACTATAACCATGTGCTCCAGACCTTGGCGCTTCAAATCTTTTTTCACTGTCCCAGCTGTTGAGCTCCAAGCACCACTTTGAGCTACAAGCTGGTTAATGTTTGGAGATTCCCTCACCTTACGATGGTTTTGATGTAACAGTGCGTCTAAAAATCCTATAATCTGAGTTTTAGGGCTTAAATTGTCTTGAATATGATTGAAGGTATGAAGTCTTAAAAATGGATTGGATTAATGAAGTTAACGTTACTTGGATAAAGTAGCATTTTTCAATCTCGTTTTAAAATGTTTTTATGGGAAATATTTGTATTTATCTTGCTGTGGAAACTGTTGGGTCTCTGTAAATTATTTTATAAGGAGTACAGTCTAGACCTGCTCTATTTGAAAAGTGTCCTGAGATAATTTATGTTATGAATTGGCACATACAAATAAATTTGAATTGAATTGAATTGAATTGAAACTGTGACCACAACTAAACTAAACCAACATGGAACCAATAAACATTTTCCTTCATATCCTTCATACTTTTTTTTTTTTTGCAAGTAGGGACATGAAATAGGTTTTAAATTGCATTCATAATGGTCTTAAAATTGTCTTAAATCCCATTGCTCAGTGTCAGTGCAGAAAGTAGTCTGGCCTTTTCCAGCCAAGAGTAACTGTTTGGGGTTTGAGTTGGTGGTTACGGGTGTAGAAAGAATTGCAATTGGTTCATTTTCTACCAGTCAAGTGTTTTAGTTGCTTTACCTTCCACTAAAAGGAAAGAAATAAGTTTTCTTCTCATGGTTATGTGGATAACTATTGTCCTTTCTTAGCAGCAAAGATAGACGTGGTGTGATGTTGTACACCAACAAAAAACCTCTTATGTAGGAGGTCCAGGTGAATGGTTGGGTGTATAATACCATATGACTTAAAGACAGAATTAATTTGCCGTCTTCTACAGTCAGTGTTAGCATCTTTTTACCACAGCCGTAGGAATTGCGTCTCTATTGGACAATTCAGTATGTCGAGGTCGAACATGCAGTACTGAGTGTGCAATCCACCAAAGCAGTTAACCTTTTTATTAATCATATTTATAATCTTTCTCTAATGCCAACCAAGTGTTTTAGTTGCATTAAACTAACTATACCTTAACCATAATTGATTTGCTGCAACAACAATTTTTCTGTATCCCAACCAATCCACAGCTGCCATGTGCAATTATTATAGAATTCAAAAACATTGGCCCTGGATGTAAAACATGTCATTAAGTTACATGAAAAACGCAGTCAAGCAATCAAAGCATCAGTCATTGCTGTCACCACAGAGCAGCCTCTAACCTTCATTTACACACAAGAAAAACGTGTTTAGGTGTTTGTGTGTGTGTGTGTG